TCGCGATGGAGCGATTGCGTCGCTTGAGTCGAACGACCGAATCGCCTGACTCAGGCGATCCAATCGCTTGAGTCGTACGACCGCTTGAGCGGTGCAGAAGTGCGTAATAGCAGAAATACCAAATCCGGGAAATATGCAGACTTGTATGCGTATTATGAGGAGAGTGATGGTTAAGGATGTGGATGTGGGTAGTCAAGGATGTGCATGGGGGGTATTGATCGGTGAGGACGCATACGTAGGTATCGATCGCTTTTCTCCGCAGCGGAATTTGTGCATTTCGGCGTGTCCTGCGCATTGCGGCATGTTTTTTCGATGTAAACTTTTTCGTTAGATTTTGACCAATGAAGCTGCCAGATCAAAAAGCTTAGCATCTATGGGACCGTTGTACCATGGGGCGGGGGGGGGGGTGGGCGGAGTTATCTGGATATAAACTTACCTTAAACTTGGATAATTAAACCATTGACTTAGTGCTGGCAAACGCCCGCGAATCCCTTGAATGGTCGATCATGGAATAATAAAAGAGGACTTCGGTTCTATTTATTGGTTCAGGAACTGAAATAATGGTTAAGAGGGACAATTCGGGGGCATTCGTATCCCTGCGCGAGAGGTGAAATTCGTGGACCGCAGGGGGACGCCCTAAAGCGAAAGCATTTGCCAAGAATGTCTTCATTAATCAAGAACGAAAGTCAGAGGTTCGAAGGCGATTAGATACCGCCCTAGTTCTGACCGTAAACTATGCCATCTAGCGATCCGATGGGGTATTGTTGCCTTGTCGAGGAGCTTCCCGGAAACGAAAGTCTTTCGGTTCCTGGGGTAGTATGGTTGCAAAGTCTGAAACTTTAAGAAATTGACGGAATGGCACCACCAGGAGTGGAGCCTGCGGCTTAATTTGACTCAACACGGGAAAACTCACCCGGCCCGGACACCGTAAGGATTGACAGATTGAAAGCTCTTTCTCGATTTGGTGGTTGGTGGTGCATGGCCGTTCTTAGTTGGTGGAGCGATTTGTCTGGTTTATTACTAAAACGAGCAAATCCCGTAGCATGGCTAATGAGTGGCTGGTATTTACGTCAGTTCTACTTCTTAGAGGGATAAGCGGTGTTTAGCCGCACGAGATTGAGCGATCTGGCAGTTTTAAAAAAGTGGGCGGAGTTTCCCACAAGCGGACCTAATGACATACTTCGCTTAGGCTTAGGCTTAAATTTGCTTAGGCTTAGGCTTAGCTCAAAGGGGCGAAGTGACAAAAATCGCGAAATCCGGGATTCCGCAATGGGCGGAGCTTTCACCGAGGAGGCGGAGTTTCCCACAGTGGGCGGGGTTTGACCTTGAGGGGCGGGATTGGAGAGAGTCAGAGTCACGAATATTGCGAATTTTCTCAAAAAATCGAAATTTTCAAAAAATACAGATTTTTGGAGTGGGCGGAGCCTCTCCTAGGGGGCGGGGCGGTGTATTGGGGCTATTCTGTCTTCAACGGACCTTAGGAGCCACTTGCCACGTAGTGCCCCACTCGGACCTAAAGACACACTTTGGACGAGTTTTCCGCGTGGACGAGTTGTCCGGCTATGCGGCTGAGATTCCCCGCACTTAAGGACGCGTTTTCGCGAAAAAACCGGCGTTGGAGACGAGTATGTCGGCATAGCGACGAGTTTTCCGCCTCTTCCGGGCCTGTGACGAAGTTCATGTCGGCACGCGACGAGATTCCCCGCACCCTAACAACGCGTTTCGCCAGAAAAAGACCGGCGGTGGACGAGTTTGTCCGCCTTCTCGGAACGGTTTTTTCCTGATTACTCGATCGCGGCGGCGTTCGCTTGCGCGGGACGCCCCCCCCCCCCCGGGGCGAGTGCGGCGTGGGGAGGGGCTACGAGCGGACCTAACGACACACTTGGCGAAAAAACCGGCAAAAAGGGTCCCTTTGGACGAGTTTTCCGGCCAGGCGGACCTAACGACACACCCGGCCGGAGATGAAGCAAAAATGCCGTGAAATGGCTCAAATCGGCGAAGTTGTCGAAAAGAGCCACTTCGGATGAAAATTATTAAGATTCTTGAAGAAGAACGTTGAACATTAATAAAAAACAAGAACATGCACATCAATAGACATAACCCCCCTTGCAGAAAATATGGGAGTAGAAAAAAACAAAAATGAAAACAAAAACTTCGATTTCAAAGAAAGCGGAATATGCCGCAATGCGCAGGACACGCCGAAATGCACAAATTCCGCTGCGGAGAAAAGCGATCGATACCTACGTATGCGTCCTCACCGATCAATACCCCCCATGCACATCCTTGACTACCCACATCCACATCCTTAACATCACTCTCCTCATAAATCAACAGTCTGCATATTTCCGGATTTGTATTCTGCTATTACGCACTTCTGCACCGCTCAAGCGGTCGTACGACTCAAGCGATTGGATCGCCTGAGTCAGGCGATTCGGTCGTTCGACTCAAGCGACGCAATCGCTCCATCGCGAAGTCTGAACGCGGTCTAATGCTGACAGCACACTGAATCCATTCACCTCCTACATGCAAGGACCATCCTGGGAGGGAGGTGTACGATGATCTCTGAGTAACTCCTAGCGCTCGACATTGTCGCCTCCCCTTTACCTGCCGGAAGATATATAAAGTCTTACATCCAAAATGGAACCCTTTTCGAGCTTACGAGTACGAAAACCTCAAATTTTCTTGTTGTTCCAGCTGGACACGCTCAAGAGGACTATCAGTGGCAACATTTTTTGCATCGAAAGTATTTATTTTGATTACGGTCAATAGATGGCTCCTATACGGTTTCTATGACCCAAGAACTTATATTCTGTTAACGATCTCCTTGATTCAATTGTTCATCGGGTCAACGCTTAGCTTTGATGAATGGAGGCGTTACAAGTGAGTTTTATTTTTATTTCATGTAGGTTTTTGTTGCTTAATTGAATGTTTCGTTGAAGCTCTAGTACGCCGCTTTGAAAGTTGGTTTTTAAGGGCGCCTTGTTCACGGTGTTGAGTCAAAGGTTACATTCAGTGTGCTCGCTGCAGATGAAAGGACTTTCAGGGGCTTGTTGGATATGGCGCGGCGCTAAACCTGTTTTCCACCAGTCGCAGTCGCTTCCTTAATCGCTGTGAAGCGTGTTGGGGTCACTCCAAACCTACTCGCGTCCCTGACACGCCCTGGCGTCCGCAGCGAACAAGACCATTGTCAAGCCACTAGAACATCCACCTCCCCACTCAGAGTTACGCAAGATCGGGTTCATAGTCGGCGGCATGAGCCTCAGGCTAAGTTCGTTCTTTGCGGCAGCGTCTATTACTTAGCGTTTCGACTGTCCGCTAGGGGCTAAACTAAAGATATCAATCTAGCGCCAACCAGCGTTCAGAAGCGTCTCGAAGTATAGTGATATAGGTACCGATCTAGCTACCAGCAGCGTCTACCAGCGTACACCAGCGATCAGCAGCGTCCTCGAGTGAAGAGTGTGGAGCGATGTGAGAGTGACAGCTCGTATCTTCCTATCGCCCCATACTCTCTATCAGCAGTCTGCTACCTTCTTATGTCCCAATACTTTACTAGCTGTCTGCTGCTCTCCTATCGCCCCATACTTTCAAATTCGGCACGCTGGTGGACGCTGCTGGTGGTAACATCAATATCTATGCTTTCCTAGCTGACGGAAGTTCGAAACTCTGCTTGGTCGCTGCCGCAAAAGTAATGAACGGCAAGGCTAAGCGCGCTCAGCACGATACCCCAATGCCTACGCGAGTACTGGTCACAGGAGTGAGTAACTTGTGAACGCTTCACCGGATTCAGACGTCAGTAAAGAGAGGAGCACCTATGTGCACTCTTCTGCTTTTGCTCTCCCACGTTTCATGTCAGAGAGTTACCCGTTACGCAAAACGCTCGAACAGCCGCTAGTTTAAATGAAATTCTGAACATTTTTTAATCCAACAGTGAATTAACTGGCACAATATACAGGAGGGGGGGGGCCAAAAAAAAAGTCATTCCGGCCGAGTCACATATGAGCGAAGTTTTCGCAGCCCAGACAGAGGAAGTGGATATGAGTACCAGGGCGGAAGATACCCAAGATCTTCCTCTATAAGCAGGAGCCGGCTGCCGCCATTCACCTTCATGTACACCAAAATATGAAGTCATCTCCAGTCGCGGCCTGAGTGGAGAACGCCTTTGGAATTCACGTGGCCTCCAAACAGCTGCGGAACTTCTTGAATGGAATCACCCATGGATAGCTACCTGGAGACCAGTACTCTTGATCTGCAAGACCTCAAGCATCGAGCAGCTCCGGCAACGTCCGCTGACGGTCCACGTGACATCATTCTGTCCGTGGCCATTCACCATATGGCGCGGGGGTTGATGGTATGGACCGGAACCTGGAATGGAAAGACCAATATTTTCTTTGTGGACTCCGGACTGAAGGTGAGCGCTGGCGGTTACATCGGCAGTTCGAAGAAATATATCCTCCCTATCATGTGGTCGCCCCGTACCGTTCTTGGAGACCTTGTGTGCTGTAACAGGTTGGCGGCCCACCACTGAGAATCGAAGCGGTTTTGGAAAAACTCCCGCCTACTTCGAATGGAAGGGCGTTCTCGTACCTGATGAAGATGTAATATTGAAATATGTCCCCTGACCTGAACCCACTCAATTACCTAGTTCGGGCGGAGCTCAACAGGGTGGTCTACAGTGGCGAGTAATCCACCCCGATCTCGCTCAATCTACTCCGGTACCCACTCACTTTCGCGCGGCCGAATCTCTCGATGGCGCTCCTCCAGAAGGCTGTGGCGGAGCATCGTTATAGTATTTAATGTGCTCTTTAATATGGTGTAAATGTAAAAATGCCCGATAAAAAATTAATAAAGTGTTACTTATAGCGCCTTGAAAGCATAGGATGAAAAAAATGACTTGTTTTTGGCCCCCCTCCCTGTATGTCGCATCTGCGGAGCTCCGATAGAAAATCTCTGAGCAGAAGATTGCATAATAAACAGTTGACAAAAGCCTGCGTTGTGTTGAAATGCTTGAAACAAACAATAAACCAACGATATCAGTGCTCTGTTCCAATTTGACCGAGGAAGTTCCTTCGCTGTAGGTTACCTAACCATTTCGTCAAAATGATGTTCTTCTGGTATGTCATCTTCTCAACTGTTGCTCGCCATCACTAAGAAATTAAAGCATACTGTAGCTTCTGCGGATTCTGTTCATTGTTGAGCAACAGAGCACCAAAAGCTCTGACTGAGTTCAGGGTCATTCATATTTCCAGTAAGATACAGTAAAAGAACAAAAAGAATTGCTCTGTAAGACAATGACCGCCCAAGGGCCGCAAAAAGGCGTTTATTCGTTGTAACTTTTGAAAGAGCGCATTCATCGTGAGCGCATTGATTCATTTTTTTTCTTAGAAGAAGTGGGCATGATCGCTGAAGGTGGGCGAGAGGGCATTTGGCCACACCCAGTCATCCCTTCCACCAATAACGTTGGCTACAACCGCCCGCCTACAACGATCGCGCCGACTGCCTTTAAGTGAGATTAGCGTCGGCGCCTAATTCCGTTGCTTTAAGGGCCTTCATAACGGCGGAATCATTCGGGTATATAGAGTTGCATGCGTCTGCAGACGAGTCAGCAGGGATTTTGTCACGAATCTTCTTTTGTTGGACGAATATACTGATTCAGAAGGGAGGGAAATTGCAGTTGAACTCGGTGAGTGTCACTGTTGCTTGTCAATATCTTTTCTGGGCACTGTTCGGCTTGAAGTGGGCATTTGTGCGCTCCTTTTGTTAGTTCATGTTGGATGACAGGTCTCACCTGATTGAGAGCTGTAAACTCCTGCGAAGCTGTGAAGTGGTACCAGTGAACCACTTTGGTCACAGGAATTTACAAGTCCTCACAAGGAGGCCTTTGCAGGCAGCTGAGAGAGATATGGGCCCCACCAAATCGAACTGCGCCTGCTTTCGCTTATTTTTAACTATGATTTCTTTTAATTTTGAGAGATTTTCATATGAGATTTATTTTTCTAGATTGACGATGTTTTTGCTCTGCCCCCGTCGCTTGAAGTGGCAGCTATTGAGCATAAAATGATCGAAAATTCACCTACTTTCTATTCCGATGGTCAACACTATTCACTCTCGTCGTAGGTTTTCCAAATGTTTTAAAGATATTTTATCCCTGATTTTAAGTGAAGAAATTTGTCAATTTTTAGATCACTGTTGTCCACTTTTGGAGTGGCTTTCTTCTCTCTCGCCTTACTCAGAGTCGCATCTGATGCATTCACCTTCGCAGGCCCTATTCTGCTTCACCTTCTTGTTGATATTCTGGAGAATCCAGCGCCAAATGTGAGCTACAAGTTACGAGCTTATTTCTGCATAGTGGCTTCTTAATTTGTTTTGATTGCTTTCAGCCAATGGGCTTCTTGTATGCCGCCCTAATGGTCTTATGTTCCCTCCTAGCTGCTCCTGTTTTCAACCAACTTTCAGTTTTTATGTGCAGAAAATTGGCCTGAAGTGAGTGCATTTACTATTCACACTTTATATTTCATTGCATGAGACTCTGTTCTACGTTTCGTCCAACTACTGTTGATATCGTCGCATTTGAACGGGCGGTGCCAGGAGTCTTACGCTGAGTGTCCCCAACGAGGAGAGGGGGACGTATTTGGTCTCTGAAATGACTGGGTCGTATTTACCTTCGTGAAGAATGTTTTCGAACTAATGATTTCCTCTGTTTTCCAGTTTCAGGGTCGCTATATACCCCTCCCTCTCCCCCGTCCCCCTGACCAACCCTGTCCACAGCATTTTTTCGGAGGAGTAGTGGAGGAATTTCGAACTGACGGAGTGACGGCGGTCTAGTAGCAAGTGGCACACTTACCACGCGCGCAGTTGTGTGAAATTGCGGTGTCAATGTCCTGGCCACCCCTCCCACACAGAATATGTCTCTGTACGACCCCCTCCCCCCCCCCTTCTGCACAAGCAGAACCTACCAATTCCCACAACTTTCCAGTTCTGTCATCCAAAAGATTTTCGTTGCGAGGGGGAACATAGACGATGTGAAACGGGGAAATTTGTTAGATTTTCCCCAACTTCCTTCCACTTTTTCCGGAATTTCCCTGAAATTTCCTGTTTTCCCACTTTTTCCCAAAAATTTTGCTAGCGAGCAGGAGGGGGTGTAAATGTTACAACGATGCTGTAACCTGTCGGGGACGGTGTTAACAGATTCGTCTGGGAGGATGAAAACTCTGACTTGTACATCGGGAACCCCGCAAATGCACATCCAGTCAGTAACCTTTGCGGTTCCGAATGAAAGCAGAATGCGTGCCACATCCGAGATATTGATCAACGGCGAAACATTTGAAAAAAAAACTGCGGAAAAGTGTTAGGATTTTGGGAAAGTTTGGAAACATGGTAATGGTAGATGGTATGTGGATGGGAAATGGGATTGTACTAGAGAAGACTTTTGAGGAGGTCGTATTTTGCAGAAATTTCTTCCTGAACGACCGGGCGCGCAAGATAAATGGGACGGGGTAAATGATCACGCTCGGGTCGTTTTCTACCACGGTAGTTTTCCTACCCGAACGCCGCCACCACTGATAGAAAGCGAAGTCGCGTATGGCTCTTCCCAATCTTCTTGAGCCCCGCCCCGTCAGACTGCGACGAAACGTATGTGTTTTCCCCTCAAGAGTGTTATCCGAAAGGATTCTCAGGTCCTAAGTGTTTCATGTTAACCTTCTGCTGTTCAGAGTACGAGCAGCGACTGTTACTGCAATTTATGACAAACTGCTTATGGTGCCCCTGAGCGAAATGAGCAAGTTCTCGTCAGGTACATAATATTTAACCTGTCAGGGGTCTTTTTTGGATTTTTCCTAGTATTTTGCAATTTCAGGGTCGATTCTCAATTTTGTTTCAACAGATGTAGATCGATTAGTAAATTTCTGTAACTCTTTCCATGCCTTTTGGAGCTTACCAGTGCAACTGGCTATCGCACTTTATTTACTGTATAGAGAGGTTTGTTTTCGTCCGTTTTTGTACAAGTCGTACTATTGTCTTCTTGCTCGAAACAGAGAACTTGAAGGTCGGCCTGGCATTCCTTGCTGGAGTCGTTGCTGCACTAATCCTGATTCCTCTCAATAAATGCATCACGAATAGCATTGGACGAATGTCGGTGAAACTGATGCATTGTAAAGATCAGCGAGTAAAGGTATGTTCTTAAATTGAACTGTATGAAAAGTGGAGCTTTCTTTGTCAATCCCCTTTCTCAGGTGCGCCATGCATACTTGATCCG